AACACCAAACAACTCATTCTGTTCATTCTGCGAAAATATTATTAAATTACTTTGGGAGCGAAATAGAGTGGCAGGAAAAAATTCAGAGTTGGGATCAGGGTTAGTAGAGGTTTGATTTGATTGTTCATCATCATGTGAGCTTGATACAAGCTTATTACTTATGATTCTATTCACTGACTCTTGACTTGGACTGTCATTATTAAAATCATCCTAGTATAATAAATAAAGTTAGCATTGTTTTGTTATAATTATGTAAATCAATTTATTTCAATTATTTGCCAAATATTGCATTATACGATGCTTAATCCTTTTGTTACTACAAATGATATTTTTCGACCACAGGTTTAATATAATATCACACACGGCAAGTGTGAACGCATAGTGATAGTTGGTGAGGATAGAGGCAGCAGCTGTGGTAAATGCATCTCTTGTTATAATAGCGATCCACAAAATTCCATCCTCATTTTGCTCATAAAGCAAACGATAGCAATCATTCATTTCGTTGCTTTGCTTCCAAGTGACTATATCTGCAGGGGCAGCATTGTTTTTTAGGGGGGTTTTTCACGACCAAACGTACTCCAAATTGCAGAACGAATATTCTGCAGCACTGTATCGTAAAGGTTTTTCATTTTTTGTAAAAGCTATTGAAAAAAATTAAAAACTATAAAACAATGCTTTGAAATGATTGAAATTGATTAAAAACAAGCATACAAATATTATTACCTGAGTACACCAAACATTATAAAACTTGTTGGTGAAATTGTTTGCACTTAGGCTTGCCATAAAACTAGAGAACTTTTTATTCAGATAATCCCTGATGGCCTCTTTTAATTCATCTTAGGTGGGATAGATTATACACGGAAAAATGTATTTCACAACGTTAAATATACACATTCTACAAAATGTAAAGTATTCAAAAATATTTTTAAAAAGTGTCTAAATCTCATGAATTACTCTTTTGCTTCCTCACAATACTTACGTCCCACACTTTTGGTGAAAGATCATCACCTTGATTGCCTTGATTCCTTTGTGACCTTATTTTGTTCTTGAACTCTTAAAAGTTATTGTTTAACTTCCTAATTAGAAGGTATAGCTGACAGTTTTGAGCAAAGAGATATTCTTGGTCTTCAGTTTTATGGCAATGGTGGTTTGAACAAGCTCAAGGTTAAAAAAAAAAAAAAAAAGCAAGATCAAAAGATCGACATTCAAAAATCAAAAAAAACTATTTTTATACCTTCATAATCAGGTTAATTTCAATTGGAAGATTGTAGATCAGGTGATAGTGATCTTTTCTGTATTTGCTGTAGCGATAATGATCTTGATGCATGATATGTATATTGGGAGGGAGATTGTTGCCTAGAAAGACTTGGTTGGTTGGGTTGTCTGAATTGTCTGGATTGTCTAGATTGTCTAGATTGTCTTGGTTCAGTTGAATGGGATGATTGGTGTTGTTTACCTCTACTACTCATCTTAGAAAAAGTATTATGCGCACTTATAATAGATGTATTAGAATCCGATTCATCATTATGAGATGAGTGAGGTGGTTGATAAGACCTAGCGATATTAAATATAGTATATATATTATAACGAGAGTAAGTTGTATTGGTAGAGATAGCGAATAAGAAGAAGATGAGTGGTTATTAGAGTTGTTATTTAAGTTATTTTCTATTTTCAACATTTTCAAAAATGTTTCTTCAAAAATGTTTCTACCTTTCAAACGCTAAAATGAGCAGACTTATATATCTAAAAAAAAAAGGCTTTGAACAATTAGATTATAAGAATAAGTATCTAATGATGTCAATCGCTATAAAAATAATAAAGAAAGTATACTTATCTCATTAGTTGTTTTGGTCATTATATAATTGCTGAGATTTAATACATATATATTATTTTTTGCTGAAATTAAAACATCAATATACAATGTAATTTAAAGTTTATTTTTACGCGTTATTTTAATTAATTGTTAGGTTCTGTTGTTTTGATAGAAAAATAATCGATTAAAATCGATAAATATTAGTATATAACTATTAATTTCTTTAAATCTTCTTTATATGTTAATCTTCTATTACTGCTATTATATGCAATAAACTAATATTTTACTACATCACTTTCTATTTATCTTTTTCGCTCTTTATTCATCTCTTTTTTTTTCTCTATCGCTTCTATTTCACTCTATTTATTTCTATTATTTCTATTTCTATCTAACTTTTGTTTAAAATACGTTGGAAGTGTGGGCATTGTACATAGAAATTTTCAAAATCCTATGCTTTATCACAACATATCTCATGAAGACATCCTTATAACCAAACTACTACAAGCCAAACTGTTTTGAATGAGCCACTAGATGATATTTGGAATGTTCCGGAATATAGCTTTAGTTATAATTCTTTTACAGATTTTGAGATAAGCTAGTTAGATGATCTAATAAGAGTATAATCGATATAAAATGATTACTTTTATTTAAGAGCGAAAATATTTCAATATCACCTCAATCTGAATTAAGTTCGAATACGTTTTCTTCTATAGGAACAGAGCCACTTTCAACAAATAATATGTCTCTTTTGATGGAAGATGAAATACTTCAAAATATGTCTGATGAAAATAACTTTGAAAACAATAGAGAATCACCAATTGATAATGTTTGCTATGAATCACAATATCCATAACTAATTCTATTGAAAGTGGTGATGACTATGAAGAAGCTTCATTTGAAAATGCTTATAATGACTTATATCATTTACAAATAGTCAAATAGCCTAACGATGCCTATCGTGAGTTTATGGTGATAATTAATACATATCAACTTTCAAATTCTGCTTGTGATACTTTTATAAAGTTTTTCAACAAATTCTCTAATTTGGATATTTCGCCACTTCCATCATCAACAAAAGCCTGAAAGGAATTCCTTGATGACTTTGCTCCTTCTTATATGATGTTTAAAAAATTCCTATAAAAATGTTTGAAAATATTAAATATATATTTTACTATCGATCATTAATTAAAACTATCAAGTCTCTATTAATGATCGATAGTATTAACCAGTCACTGGTTCTTCAATATGAAGACAAAAAAGAAGTAAATAATAATGTAGAATACTGAATCTTTGAAGAACAATA